ATTTTCAACAACTATATCATTATCAACAATACCAACAACGATTACATCAATATCAATCACAACAATAAATAAATTTGATAATAATACTAATGAAAATGAAAAAATTTCTCTAAAAGACTCTCATAGTATAGCACTTTTAGTTTTAATTATTATTATTTGTTCATTAATGAGTATTATAACAATAGTTGGAAATCTTGTTGTTATACTAGCTGTTTGTCTTGTAAGAAAATTACGAACAGCATCAAATATTCTTATTGTTAGTTTGGCTGTTAGTGACATATTAGTCGGCTTGTTTATTATGCCATTAGCACTGGGTAAAATTAAAAATAAAATATGAATTTTCTTTTTTTTTGTTTTTGTTAAGTATATTTTATTTTGATTTTATTTTAGTGCTCGAAATTTCCAATAACAACTGGCTTTTAGGTTCGATTATGTGTGACATATGGACGTCAACTGATGTTCTTCTATGTACATCGTCAATATTGAATTTTCTCGTTATATCAATCGATCGTTATTGTATCATTAATCATCCATTTAAATATGCTCCCATGCGTAAAGTCAAATTACTTTCGCTAATGATAGCCGGTGTCTGGATACTTAGTGCACTGGTTTCATTACCTCCTATTTTAGGCTGGGGGCGTATGTATTAATTATTCTTTTTCTTTTTCTTCTTCAGATTAGTAGACGATGAAAAATGAGAGTTCAATGTTCTCTAGACTTCGATACTTTGTTTTCGGATCTAATGGATATATCTTAGATCTCATCGAAAACACACCCTAAGGCTTTACTATTTAAAAAAAAAAGAGTCTCAATAATCTCTTAATTTATATAAAGTGTATTTTATTTTTGTATTTTTAAGGTCCTTCGGAAAATCTTCCAATATGTCAAGTAAATAATAAATTGGAATACCAAATATTTGCAACTATGCTTTCATTTTACATTCCCCTTATTGTTGTACTTATAATATATGCAAATATATATCGAACAGCGCAAACAGCAATGGATAATCGTTCAAGTGTTCAAATGTCTCAATTTTTAACACATAATAATTCTTCAACGAATGTTGGACAAACACATGTAACTTTACCACATTCTCAACAACAATTAAATGGTAATACTTGTTCAATACCACAATCATTATTAAATATATCGAATGCAAATAATAATCAAAATGAAGATGGTTCATCAACGTCAGGTACTGAACAACGACATAGTGGACGACGTTCATTGAGACGTTCAGCAAAAAAGTCAACTGAAAATAAATCTACTAGTTTTTTATCTCCATCAAGATGTTTAGGTAGACGAATAAGTACGCCATTTAATGGTCGTTTATCAGTATTTGTTACACGACGTTATTCATTTTTTCGTCATGTTCATTTACCAAATCAAAAAGCCATACGTACACTTGGCGTTATCTTAGGTACATTTATTGTTTGTTGGCTTCCATTTATGTTATTTGCAATAATAAAACCGTTACATGAATATATAACACGTTTAACAGGTTCGCCACGACCATTAAATGCTCCTCAATGGATTGATCCAGTTTTACTTTGGTTTGGCTATTCATCATCGATGTTAAATCCATTAATTTATTCCAAATTTAATCGAGAATTTCGAACACCATTTCGTGAAATAATTTATTGTCGTTGTCGAGGTTTAAATGAAAAAATTCGACGGCAAGAATATTTAGAAAATCTATATGGTGATCATCATTTACAACCACCACCAGTGCATAATTATCAACACCAAACACCAGGAACACATTTGAGAAGTAGCGGCAGTCCTGAAGCAGCAGCCGTGTGATATGCTGTGATACACATCTACACATGAGAAAAGAGAAACCTTATATTTGTTTATTTGTTTGTTTTGTGTGTATATGTTTTGACGAATCCTGATGTATATGCATATATTCTAATGAACAGTCATTTTTTTTTGCAGACATATGACGGTGAACTTTGAAACCAACATTTTACAATGCTCATAACCGGTTTCGCCATCAAGGAAAAATAAAATATGATCACTTTTTTTTTCGGTTTTTTTGCTCTTGTTTGGTTGTTTGTTTATGTGTGTATGCTTTCTACGCAGCACTTTTTTCTTCTTAAATTTTGTTTTTCTCTCGCATTTTTTTTTCTGTGTTCTTGTTCTGCTTTGGAAAAATAATATTACTTTTATTTTATACAAAAAAGACGAAAATGCATAAATATATATATATATATATATATTCAAATATTAAAAAAAATAATTGATAAGATGTTAAAGTCATATACTATTTGTTTCATAGAGAAAATGAACTTTGTCAGAAGCAGAATTCCGCTGTCTTAACCATTAGAAGAAATTGAATGGTAACATCCTTGTTTTACACGAAATGTCTTGTCAAGATTTTTTTTGTTCGTTATAGTTCAAATATAGAAAATCATATATAGTAATTTATACTGTCTATTATAATTGAATACAAAAGGTGTATTATTATAAAATATGAAAA